TTCGCCCGTGCCTTTCATCTCGGGTTACTGCTCGGTACTTTGCTCGCGCTCACTCGCTCGCTCGCGCGCCAACGCTACCTACGCCTTGGAAGTCAGCCTTCGTCTCGCGAGATTTGTTGGAATCAGCGTCTTTTATTCTCCGGCCACGTCGCGTCGCGTCGCGTCATTTCCGAACGCGTCTCATCGTCTCACAGTCGGAGATATTCAGCGTGATCGTCTTAACCTTGTATCTCCGTGGAGAGGCGACCGATTTTTGCAGACGCGCGACGAGTGCGAAAGCAGCGCCGGGCATGGAAGGAGAGGAGAAAGCGCGAAGGCGCGGTGCTCCGTCAAAATCGGAAAAGTGCACGGAGGGAAGCGCGTCGGCTCGTCAAGGATTTTTCTTATTAGATTTCTCGCCCACGGCAACTTTCTTCGACAGCTTCCGCGTAAACGCGACGCGCAGCACGTCACTTGCGTCTCGTGCGAGTTTGCTAGCTATAGAGAAATTGTACGAGTGAACGCGCACGGAGCGTACAACATGAAAACGTGCACGCAAGCGTGCCGCGTCGCTTTGAAAAGGTCGCTATGAAGGAAGGGAAAAAACAAAGAAAATTATATCCCCCGCGACTTGTTTGCTCGCGAGAAGATCGCTCCCTCGTCGGGGCGGAGGAAACGATTTGTCCTGCGATTTACTACCGGACACTGTGTAATCGCGGTTCAATCCGAGTCGCGATTGTGCGCGGCGACGTATGTGTTCGAGGGGGTGGTGGTCGTGTTACGAAGTTTGCAAACTTCTGCAGAGCGTATCGTGCAGCGGGGCTGATCATACGCTTTCCAGAAGCGAACAATAGAAAGGAAGTCGTGTCTAGAGGCAAGCCAAAAAGTATCGCGCGCTGTATCTTTCAAGAGGGAGAGACCTCGTGTGAGAGACCATGTCCTGAAAATGGCCGACAGACCCCCGGAGAGCCCATGTATATCTCCTGAATACAATATCCTTGCTCGTCCTTCTCCTTCTCTCCGTCTCTCTCTCTCTCTCTCTCTCTCTCCCCTCTCCCTCCCTCTCTCTTCTCGACAACGTCGACTAGCGAGGAACGGACGAACGAGCGAAGGAACTTGGTCACTTGACCCTAATATCAATTTGTGGGCGGTGGCGCTCAAAAAAGAAACATCTCCAGCTAACACACGTATGATGAGGGTTCCACGGGGAGTCTCGTTTGGAAAGCACTTAATTTATACTAATTTTATTCCACGGCCAAAACGATGAGCGCAGACTTAACAAGACCGTACTTCTTCGAAAGCAAACACTCCTTTGTGCGCCTTGCACGACCGCATGTGACGAGCGTCTGCACAGTTTCATCGCACGTCACGCGGCCGAGGGACCATTGTCGCGCGATCATCTCGACGTGGAACGTCGCTCGCGAAAAACCACGAGGAGAGCCCCTCTCGAGCGGTCGTCATATTATTTAAAGAAGGGCCGAATAAGAGACACCGAGAAACCATCTCGTATCATCACCGCCGATACTCGGAGACATCGGGCAACGTCGCGTATACTAAATTTCTGCCAGTCCGTGTTTACGAAACTCGAACGACGAACACCGCCGAGCCGAGCGTGCTCGAGGATGACGCATTGTTATGAGAACCTGAAAAGCGCATCGAGTGCACCTGGAACGTGCAGTGTTCGATTCGACGACGTTATCTACTCTCGTCGGACCCTGACCGCCACCACCGCCGCAACCACCCTCCGCGTCCCTCCGCGACGCATTATGTAGCACATACCACGCGAATGATAGGTGACAGGAAGTCGTAATCTACCCCTATCCCCCCGGCCTCTCGCTCGCGCTATCTCGCGCCGGAGCCGGCGATTGTTTACATCGTGAGATTTTTAAACAAGCTGCTAAGTAATTTATTCACGCCCCTCTCGTCATTACGTTCCCGCCACCGTCGGCGATTCGCCGGCGATAAAAACGTAACGCGGCGACGCGGGGCATCGCGTGTCGACCCGCGATTGACTGCCGCGTGAGAGAGACAACGCGCGTTATTCGTCGTCGGGAGAAATTCGGCCTTACGAATTACGATCTTACTGGGATTACGACAGGGGGACGTCTGTCGTCGTCGTCGTCAAGGAGCCCTCTCCCTCTCTGTCTCCTCCTCCCCCCCCCTCCCTCCTATCCCACTTCCTCTTAGCCGAGAGCCTTTCTCTCTGCAAGACGATTCACTCACGACCGGGCGCGAAGGACACGTCTATAAGCTAATTTCACGTTGAATAAAAACGCGTAATACCCCTGAAAGGAAAATCCATTTAACGTCGCTCTCCCGGTCTCCTCTCTCAAGATAAATTGCTTTTCGGGGGAGCTTTCTAAAGCGACGTTGCAGGAAGTTCAGGCTGGGTGACAGTTCCTTTGCGAACCGGCTCCTCCCCCGAGGATCTCTGTTTTGGCTTCGTTGGCCGTCGCGACTGTCAACCGTGACTCAACAATGGACGCGGGATACGCTGCCGAAAATCCACAAGGGGCGGCGAATACCTCAGCGTAGACTTCAATATGCTTCGGAGCCGTTCCCTACCACCCTCACGTTGCCCGTCCCGACGGTATTGAGTATCCCCGCCCCTCTCGGAAACTTGGTCTCGCCGAACGTCGCGCAGGAACAACAACAATGTCTCTATCGTTTCTGGAAGGGACTCGCGCGCCGCGAATTTTGCGAAGCGACACGTTCTCGAGAGAAACATCCCCGTGAGGAGCAACAAGGAGCGGCGCGATTTTGTCGATACTTCAATCTCCGGGATCCGAGAGACACGCGCTCGAGAGAGGGACGAATCGACGGTTGGCCGGTCGATCGGCCGTCGCGATAAAGCGCTTTCCGAGCGATAAAGAGAGAATAATACGCGTTTCGAAAAGACCGTATACAAACTGCGAAGAGTAAAATACGCCGACAGCGAAGTATGCGAAGCGCGACGGTTACGGAAATAATAAATTGAAAGGCAAATGGAGTCGCGCAAGCTTTACCACGGCCGAGCTACGCCGGCCGCTTATCGCCCCTGAAAGAAATTTCCTCTACAGCTTGTAAATCACTCCTGTAAATAGCGCATTCTGATAAACCGCATTAGCCGGGCGATCTATCATTCGCTCGACCATGGCGATTCTCGTATCGCGATCGTCGACCTCGAGCGATTCAACGCGCCCGCGCTCGCGTTCGCGTTTAACCTCCTCACACACGCGTCGGATTACCATCGGCGTCCACCAGGGTTGAAATAATAAAACCGTCGCGTCTGATGCGTCGGTTTATCGCGTCCTGCGGCCGCTGTCATGTAGCGGCGCGGCGGCGGCGGCTAGCTGCGAAATTGGATCTAAGCCCGCGCAAACACCGGCCGCAAACTCGCGAAAAGGAATTCGCGCTGCCTCATCGCGCGTCGGCCGTGTTCGCGTTATGACCTTTAAACTCTGCCGAGTCTTCCACTCTCGATCCGATTACCAGTCGAGAGGATTGCAACGGACCACCTGGCTTGTACGGGGAATTACATTGGGCCCGCGTCTCCGCGACCCGAGTGCCGTCTAGAGCCCGTAGTAGAAAGTCCCGAGTCGAAGCCTCGCGAAACGGTAATCGGAACCCATCCTAGACCGACCGTAGTCGTGTTCCTTTGCAACGACGACGTCTCGAGGTGGACGCGCGCGAACGCCAACGGTAGACACGCTGCGAGGAGGAGAGAGCCCACCCCCGACGGTCTCCCCCTCCCCTCGTCATTTTCTCGCTTGTGCATCGGGGAAAAGCGTATGCCCTCGTGGGTCTCGTGTCTCCCTCCAGCAGCCGGAGTAGGGATGAGGGGGATATCGGGGACACACTGCGGAGATATTACCTTCTCTCAGAGGGAAGTCGAGGACGTATGTACTCGCGAGGAACTTATCCATAGTGACGGCCATGTGCGTGCAATAAAGAAAGGTATTGGACGGACCGGCGTCGGATCGCGATATAACGCGGAATTCGTTTGACATGCAGAAAGAAAAAGAGAGAGAGAGCGAGAGAGAGAGAGAGAGAAAGAGAGGGAGAGGAGAGGAGAGGAGCATAAATTACATATTGACGTATATGCGCATGCGTGTTGTCGCGTGTCAAATCTGTCAAACTCGGAGGTAGACGCCTCTCCGACGAGTTCTCGCAGCGGACTTTAATTCATGGGAAATTTCACGCCTGTCCAAGTATCTCTGTCCTCATTGTTACAACCCTTGTAAATCGAGAATACGGAGCGAAAAGGAATACAAAAGGCCATTTGGAGCGTGTCAAACGTGCGCGACTTTGTCGCGCCTCCGTTTACGGACGGTCGATCTCTACGACGCCGATCGTGGAGGCTGGACTGGAGGCGTAAAAAGGAGGAGACAACGTGAAAGAGAGAGAAAAAAAGGAAGCCCGGAATGCCACCAAATTTGAAGCTGCAAAGATTCTGCCAGCGTGTACACAATATAGCAATATTCGCCTCGTCGTGTCGTAGCGCGGGCGGGTTTACGACCGCGATAAATATGTCAGTTGCCAGTTTTTCTGTCCTGTTCTTTTTTCGACGCGTAAACGACACCTCTCGACGCGACTAATTTTTCGCACGAGCGCCTGCCGCCGCGAACACGTCCGAACGCGCGGCCGCATTGTGACGTCCGCGAAAACGCATAAAATTCGGTGGCGGACAGTTAACGCGCTACTCTCTTCTCACAACGAGAGACCGGACGGCTCCATTTTACATCGCCGTCACTCTTCAACGCGATAACGAACGGATGGGGCGGAAAGTACGAAGGATGATGGTATTTTTAGCCGGGATTCTACGGCGGAGATTCCCCCCCGTGCCGCTCGGCTTAACTGGCCCCGCAGGCCTTTACAGGTGTTCCGGACAACGACGAACAACGACGAGGAGGAGGAGGAGGAGGAGGAGGAGGAGGAGGAGGACGACGACGACGACGACGTCGACATGTTATTACTTATTAATCCGCCTCTCTCGAGCCCGACGATTTTAATTATGCCCGGCGAAACGATCATTTTTGCAGACGCCTTTATCGGCGGAAACGACTACCGGCGGCGAATCGGTCGCAGCGACAGCAACGGGAGACGCGCGAAAACGTTTACCAGCAACGACGCGCGAATTGGAAAGTTTATCGCGCCGACCCGCGCGCGCCAGCCCGGGATCGTCGAACTCGCCCGCCTCGTGTCCTCGAGCCCGCTCGCGGTGCCTCGATCTCGATACGAAGAGGTAGGTCTCGGGGAAGAACCGGTCGTGCCGTACCTACGCGAGACGTCGTTAATGCCGCGAGAGAGCGAATCCACCTACGAGTCGAAGGGGTGACCGAGCTGAGCCTCTCGCTCTCCTCTCTCTCTCTCTCTCTCTCTCTCTCTCTGTCTGTCTGTCTGTCTCTCTCTTCTTCTCATCGCTCGTAACCAGCTTGAAAAGAAAGCAATAAGTCGCCTGGACGGGAGAAGGCGAGGTGGAGACCGAGAGAGAAAGAGAGAGCCGCGGACCGATAATAAGTGGTCGTGAATCCCGAAGAGCCCGAGGAGAGAAGGGAGGGGAGGAAGAAAGAGAAGGAGGGAGAGAGCGCGAGAGAGAGAGAGAGAGAGAGAGAGAGAGAGAGAGAGAGAGGGATCCTGCCGGCCGTCTCTCGTTATCCACACGGCGCCCGAGCGTGACGTCACCGCGCGTGTGGTCGCTACAGGGGGATGTACGACGTTTCTCGCGTGTGCACACGCCCGTGTACACAGGTGTGCGCAGATACGAGCAGCGCGCGGCGCACGAAGGAAGTCGCGCACTCGTCCTCGCTCGTGCATATACACGCGAGCAGCGCATCAACGTCGTATGCGCGCGCGCGCTACACACACATAGGCGAGCCCGTGAGCCGTGAACCCGTAGAGTCCGGGACGGACTCTCTCTCTCTCTCTCTCTCTCTCTCGAGCTCTCTCTCTCGGCGCACGGCTCTCGGTTCCGAGAGGGAAAGATGATGCACCACGCTGCACGGTTCGTTCGCGTATAACAGGGGACCGGCGAGCTTAGATAGGGAGAACCGGGGGGCACGGTAGCGCAGCGGCCGAGTGACGGCGGAGACGCACGAACGGCCCCCGACGGGCGTTCGGTCGGTGGCCCTCTCTCCGCGCAGTATCCTGCTGGTGCAGCGATCGGCTCGACTTTGCCGTCGACTCTCGTGTCTCCCCGGTCGGGTTCGCGTCACTTCGGAGTCAGTGCGTCCGCATCCGTCTTCAGGGTAGGGTTTCGGTTCGTTCTCTACGGCCGCACGTGCTGTTGCCGCGCGCTCTCCAAAGAAAGAGAGAGAGAGAGAGAGAGAACGAGAGACTAGCCGTGCGGAGCGACGGCGTCGCTCTACGAGTAAAATATTTGGAGGAACTAACATTGTGTGTGCTAGTGGCCGTGTTCCGCGCGCGACGCGCGATTCAGGACGCACACGTGTGCGCCGCCGCGTACACACACGCAGCTCCGCGCGACGCTGTATGTTCCGTGGCCGACGAGACCGACGACGTACGTCGCAACGCGTGTTTACGGATCTCTGATTTAGTGTTGCCGATCGCTCTCTCTTTCTCTTCCTCTCTCGCGTGCGACGCACGCTCGCCTCCGCCGCCTGCAGCCGCGTACAGCGGCAGGAAAACGACTACTACTACAACTGCTACTACTATCACTACTACCAGCAACGGCGAACGAGTCCGCTCGGCAACACACTGATCCGGGGCTACATCGCACTCTTGCGCGCCCGATCCGTTTTTATCGGGACGCGAGGGATAATGGATTAATTTTCACCGGGGTGAGAGCTGGCCGACTCGGCGGCAGCGGCGGCGGCGACGACGACGACGACGACGACGCCGACGCCGGCAGCGCGGTTGCGACTACTACTCTCGGCACGGTGTACCAGGCGGCCGAGCGGAGCGAAGCAGCGGGAGTCCGCGATAAATCAAGGTGAGAATCCGGCTTTGTTTTCGAGAAGGGTTGCGCGATAGCCGGCCTTCCATTGACCAGCCTGCTCACCGCCGGCCGAACTATTTCGCGTCCTCCTCCGTGTGCGCGTCTCTCTCTCTCTCTCTTCTCTCTCGCTCTCGCTCTTCTGTTTCTCTACGGCCGTCCCTTTCCCTCCCACTGTCTCGTTTCGACATGCTTTCTCTTCTCCCCTTGACTCTCTTTTCCTTCCCTCCGTTGCTCTCCGCTCGGGTCTGCTACGAATGCTGCAAACGAGCATCCACGAGCCGCGCAGCATATATTCCGCAGTCTCCTCCATCTCCTCCGCCGCCTTTCTCATCCTCCACGTCGGCCCTCGCCGTTTCTCGTGCAAAGCCGAAGAGAGATAGAGAGAGAGAGTGAGAGAGAGAGAGAGAGAGAGGGGGAGGGAAAGAGAACGAAACAGAGACAACGCGTTGTTTCTCCGGGTTCGGCTCGGACGACGGATCTTGATTGCAATTCCGCTCTCTACTAGCGACGGAGCCGCGTCGTCTCTCTATGCAAATCCACGCCGGCGGAAAGTCGTCACAGTTGAAAGCCGCACGAGCGCCGAGAGGAGAGGATCTATGTTCCATTAAATAAGTCCTTTCCTTCGTTGCCACGGCACAGCGAGCCCGGGTTCGACAACCTCATCTAAGTTGCCGAGCAGTGTGAAAAATTGACGATCGGAGTCGCTACTCGGAAAGAGACGCGGGAGATTGACGATCGGCACGTTCGGGATATAACGGAGGTTTAGCAATCATAGAACTAACGGACTTTGGAGAAACCGGAGAAACTTGCACCCGCATGGCTGCCCGCGAGGTGATTCCGAGTCGCGACGCGTTGATCCGCCTTTCGACAAAGTTTCGTGAAATTTCACCATCAGCGTCTGATAAAGGTACGAGCGAGCGCGCGACGTCTCTTCGTTCGTAACGCATCCGAATACCCGAAGCTGGCTGGAGGATTCTCGAGAAGGAAAAGTGATTCCTTCGCACCACGTAAAAGGACGAGACACACGCACACGCGCGCTGATCCGCGCGAGTGTTCAAATCGGAGAATAAATTCGGCCGGCAGCGAACAGACGCGTCGTCGCGCGAGCCGCGTATAGACGCTTACGCGTTATACTTTATCGGCTGTGTGTACACGCGCGGGAGTGCTTAATACAGTGCAATCATTGTTATCCCGCGAGAGAATGGCGGATGCTTATTTGCTTAATATCCCCGTTGACCATACAACTCTGTTTGCGCTCTCTGCGTTTCGTACGCCGCCATTGAATCTCGCGCGTCGGCGAAATACATTGCTGCGCATTACCGGCAATTATATATCGCGCGCATTATGCGCCCGCGATCAATTAGCCCGCGATACTATCATATACATAAACGCGATTTCACAATCGCGCCAGCATGTAAATTATATCGACACACGAACATGCGTGCGCGCGCGCTGTGACTTGTTGCGAATTTGCAGTTTCACCGATCCGCCGCCGCGACGCGACTCGCCCATTAATCCGCGCGAGCGATGAACCAGCAGCATTAATCGACAAATAAATACTTGGCGTTATTCGCGACTTTTTCCGCAGGAAAAGCGTGATCGCTCTCGCCCACCGTGCGACCGCGCGCGCAAATGTCACATCCCCTTCGTCCCCGCCGCGCAAGACATTACCATAAACGCGTGCGACAATGCGGCGGAGTCGCATCGGAACGACCTTGACTAGGGTTCAACGTCGAAACACGGAGAGACACAGAGAAAGAGAGAGAGAGAGAGAGAGAGAGAGAGGGCAGGGGCCGCCGAGAGAAAAAGAGAAGGCAGAAACAACGGGCGCGTTTGTCGAAGCGAGCTCGCGCGAAATCGAATTCGTACACGCGAGAACGCGTATATATCGACGTGGGCTACGCGAATGTAAATCACGACGGGGAAAAGCCCGCTCGTGACAGAATGTTAGCGCGTGTTCGGGCCGCGCGCGCGCGCGCGCGTCCACGCCCACGCCGGGACGCGACGGTGTCGCGACGAGAAAGAAGCGCTGCGCGAAACCGCGCAGTCGAGAGACGTTTATCTGTCAGCCTTTTTACGACTATCGCGCGCGCAGCTTCCGGCGTGTAGCGGCGTTCTCGTTAAATTCGCGCCGTGTACACGCGCGCGCGCGCGCGCGCGTGGGTCGTTGTCAGATGTGTGCGTGCGTGCGTGCGTGCGGCGTGACTCGCCGTATTTTTCGCGCGCTGGCGATTATTCGCATCCGCTTAGATTCGGTGCTCGCGAGCGAGCGAGTCGCTAAGCCGCCGCTTTATCGCTTCTTAATTTTCCTCGGCGGATGAATCGGATATTTATGATCGCCGGCGATAAGGGAAGGTGGAGGCCGCTGCTTTGTAGTCGGAAAGTCCGTAGCGTAAGGTCGCAAAGAAGCCGCTCCCGCGACACCGCCGGTGCAACGCGGCGTCGTAACGCCTAATTACGTTCGCCGCGGACACACTACGTACATATTTGCATCGCAAATCCCCCGGCGCGTAGCCGTCGTCGACGTTGTTAGTTTTGTTGCCGCGGCTCCGTGTGTAAGAACACATCGGGACCGGCGCGTCGACGCGCGGCCGGCCTGTGGTATCAAGAGGAAGTAATCGGCGTCGGGAGCGAGAGAGAAAGAGAGGAAGAGAGAGAGGACGTTAATATCTTGCAGCGTCGACGCGATTATCGAGTCCAAATCGATATCCTTCCTGTTGGTGTGTCCGAAAGACTCCCACACGGGTGGATCGAAATATCACATCGCGACGAGACGGAACGATTCGCCGGGATTATTATTCCCAACCGGCGCTATTAATAATTTATAGTTCGCGGGAGGGGTAGACTCGCGTGTAATGTGTATTCGATATGACTCCGACGAAGCCGCGCGATATTGGTCGATTATACTTCCAAAGTACGAAAACGTGCGGCGCGGTACGTCGGGAATATTTCTCGACGGACCGGAGAAATTGATGTCTCGATCGTATCGTTCGGTAGCACTTATATACGCAGCTTCCACTCCGTGATTCTTCCCTCGCCCCTGCCTCGCCCAGCTCTGCGACGTCCACGGAGAATCCTCGAGAATACTTACTCTCCGCATTGCGTTTGGATCGAATCGCGTCGATCGTCGGGCCGATGTTATCTTATCGTCTCGGCGAGAGCTCGCGTGACTTCAAACTGTTTCGTTACGCGAAGTCGCAAGTTTAACCCTCGACCGGGGAGTCGCCGTACACTTTCGGAGTGCACTCGGAGTCGCGTAGCTCGCGTCGAGTTCCTCGCAACACTCACTGGCTGGCTATACGTGCGCGCTCGCGCTCGCGCTCGCGCGCGGAAAAGCCCTAAACAATGCAGCGCGCGGCAGTGAAACAATACTTCGGAATTCACTTCGCGGAATAAGGGGAGCGTGGAGTCGCTCGCTGGCTCGAAAATTACTGTTGGATCCTGCGCGTTCCCTGTGAGAGATATACTGCCGCTGCGGAGAAACGTCTCGGGAGAATCGTCCAAAGTTACATTACATTACAAATATACACCGCTTGAAGCTCACGATCAAATTGAGACGTCCCCGGATATCCTCCTATGTGTGTGCGACAACACAATTGATACTCTTATTTTTATCTACACCGAAAATGGCAACGCGCGCGTCTCGGAGATGAAAACCCGGCTTTTCCACAGGCGGTAAGCCGGACGCGATACTTGGTGAACGGCGGAGCGGAGGGAGGGAAATAACAATAATTGCCGGCGCGTTGTTTTGTTTGCGCGCCACAATCGTCGTCTGCCGGAACAATAAAAAGACCAAAGTTGTGTCGTTTGCGGTGATGTATCGTTCTGCAGGTGGTAGACGTCTACGAGCGACCGACTCTCTCTCTCTCTCTCTCTCTCTCTCTCTCTCTCTCTCTCTCTCTCTCTCTCTCTCTCTCTCTCTCTCTCTCTCTCTCTCTCTCTCTCTTTCGTAGCGACCCTTTCGGATATTTCCGTGCTCGTCTGGATCCCTTTTACAGCTCGCTCGGGCGCGGCCACGTCGTCGGCGCAATTAGAACGCGCTATAATTGACTCGTTCCGAATGCCGGCGAGTAGATGAATTATATCGCCAACGCCCGTGTCTCGGATAAACCGATAGATAAAATCAGGCCGTGGGTGCCATGCACGTAACATCGGAAAGCGATACAATTTCGCCCGGCGTCGCCGATTATTTTATGGGCGTTTCATTGAGGGGCTCTCGGGCGACAACGCGCTAAGCCACATAGAGCGATTTTATAGACCAGCTCGCGCTGGAAGAGACCATAAATCATTAACGAGATCGAGGGTCCCCTGTTGCGGTTCTCGCAGTCATCCGTGTTATTTCCAAATCGATTTTAAACGCTCAAATAGAGCTCGGATGCTTTTCATGACGATAGCGATCACTGTTTAATTAAAGCATGTGCGTCAAAAACTCTGCGTTTGTCAAACGTTTTTATCTCCCCCCCCCCTCCCCGCTCCCCCTCTCCGATAGATTCGCTTGATTCAAGTCAACAGGCCCACTTCGTGAATTTTAACGCGAGCGGCGTTGTTATCGTTGCCTTGTCGTTGCGCAGGTGTAACATATGGGGCGGAATGGCTACGCAACGACGATGCAACGATAACGAATTTTTAACGATAGCGTAACATTCGACAGTCGCTAAGCGCAGTTTACAGAACAGCCCTGCCAGAGAATAGCCGGGATTTTTTTCAACGATCCCGGTTATACCCCGGCGTGCCTAAAAAGATATCAGAAATGACACAATGTCCCAAAAATTCTGTTAGGTCACGCTTCAGAATACTCTCGGGACGTATTGTATGATATTATCCAAGATACGTTATCCTCCCGAAATATTTCTCCAAGGTAAACAATAGCTCTCGGAAGATTTTATCCGGGTCGGAGGAACTTTTGTCGAGAAATCGGCTTTTCCCCGAGGAGACTCGCCTTAATTTCGGAAACCGCGGGGAGTCGTTCGAAGGCTCTACGCTTCAGCCCGATA